CCCTGAGTATTTCTACCTTGACTTTCACCAGTTCTTCACCTCATCCAAAGGTAGCTAAAAACAGAGTTTCATCACTATTTTCTCCTTCCCAAACCAATTCTTTCACTAAAACTTCCAGTGGTACCTCCAATTCCCTCAATTAGGTTTGACACTTTGTGGAGTCAATTTAACTGCTTCCCTAGCAAATCCAATCAGTTGCAAAATTATATAATTACTACCTTCTGATACTCATTCTTTCCTTCTCTCCATTGCCTAATTAAGGCCTTCATTACTCTCTAGTATCTTTGGTTTCTACCCAACCCAAGATCTCTTCTCTGTTGTCTCCAAATGTTTTATGCACCAATCTAATTTAACCACCTTCATCACATAAGCCCCATACTTTCACAATGGTGCCCAGTATCTCCTCTAACTGGAATGTTCCCTTTCCCTCAGTTCCTTAACGCTCCACGACCAAATTCTACCACCTTTCAGGTTCCAACTCAAAAAGCAAGTTGGAATGAAGCTTGACCAATCCTGCCAGCTGTACTTGAGAGGCATAAAATGCTATAATTTTAAATGATAGTTATCATTTTCAACCATGTGATGATGCTTTAACCTATCTTTTGTGGCAGGCCTTTCACTTGCTATCCAATACTATAAAATGCAGTCAACTAATACATCTAGGTATTTTTTACTCTATTCAACCTAAGTTTCAACTTTCCTGAATTTACATACAAGTTCTTCCAATTTCTGTACATGTTTCAGATTATTAAATTTATAAAGGCTGTCATCCAATAATAGCTATGACTTCCTGTTTTAATGTCATCTGAACATTTTATAAGCATGATTTTAGGTTTTCACCTAAATCTGAGACCCAGTACTAGAAGGTGAAAATGTCATTAAAACCTTGTCCTCTAATTTTTAGCATTAACAATTATCTTGTATTAGATATCCTTAACTGGAATAGGTCAAAATGTAATCAGGTAATACATTATGTAAGTACTAGATACAAATTATTAGGAAATATATTTGGGGTGGTTACAAAACAATACGGGTTCATATCCTCAAGGTGCTTAATATAATTAGGAGAGGACATTAAACCAGTAACAATCTCCAACAAGTAATCTACTATGGTGATTCTTTTAAATTAATTATGTAGTTCAGATCTACAATTATGCTGAATCATATGGATGAATCTCAAACATAATATTGGCTCAAAGAAAACAGACACAAAATACATAGTGTACAATTCCACTTCTTGGAAGTTAGGATAGGGGAAGGGAAGTGGGGAAGTGATGGGAAGGGCCCATGAAGAGCTTCTAATTTTCTGTATCTTGATCTATGTGCTAGATACAAAGCTATGTTCAGTTTGAGCTGTACATTTATGAATGGTGTACTTTTCTGACACAAATAAAATGATTTTTTAAAAGTCACACCACAGAGCATTCAAAAACTAGATTAGCTAAGTTCTGAAACCTGAGTTTTACCATTTGGGTTAACAAGTACTAGTGAGCGTTAGTGATGCATTCAGCTTCTTGGGGGATAGGTAAAATAAAAACTGTCTCGTACAAGCAGCTTAGTTCTGATTTTCTCCTAATTTCAAAAATAAAATCTCATAGGGAATGATAATAGGAAATACTGGGAGCCTTTTCTAACACAAAATACTTTAGGTTATTTAAACAAGAATTTTTTAATCCAATAATTTTAAAACTAAATATAAATAATTATTTTTAAAAAATTTTAACTAAAATCATTAAGTATCTAGTAAAAGACATACCATAAACGTATATGCCATTAATTTTAAGTGAATAATCCATGTGTACTACTTTCCGTATTTATTTCTTTAAATATTCGTGCTATCATAAGAACAAGCTGACCCAAGGAGATGGTGCACCTTGCAATTGTTACACTCCTTACAAGCTACCTGATTTCTTCGTTTCGTCTACCTGAGCTGAAGTTTCTTTCCTCAAGTACTCCTTCACCTTACTGACCTGATATTTACAAGAGGGTAAAATCGTTTGCTATAAATTCTCGCTCTCAGCTTTTGCAGACAAAGGACTTCTTGCAATGAGCACCCAGTGATCAAGATAAGTTTCTAAACTAATTCTATTTAACAAAGCAATGCCAATTAGTTTGGAAAGCTGTTCTTTAAAGCAGAAAAATAGGAAGTCAAACTTTAAAGTTACTACAGTGAAATGCCAATAGGCTATGATGTCACTAAAAATGAACTACTTCATAGTAAGATAATCCCAAGAAAGCGAACTATACAAGCTACATTATTCATTTTAATAATCGGCACAAACATTTGGGCTTCCCTAGAAAGGTTAGCATTATTTTTGAGCTATCAGTATCTATTAACCTTATATTTGGTGACAAGAAAAAAATTTCAGCTGATTGATTCCCTGAGGACTCTGCAAATGACAAATGGGGGAGCCAGAACAATGAGGGCACTTAGGAAAAGGGAAAGGAAAGCTTTACAGTAGTTTCAACTTTCGTATCATAACTGAATATGCGTAAACTTTAAATTTCAATGGAAACAGAATATCTAAATATAGGTAGAGGCAGACTGTTTGATGGAAAACTTCTCAATTTGCTAATTCTAACTGAAACAGGGAAGTAAGTCAATGTGAGAAAGATTTATTAGTTACTTATATTTTGATTAAAAGATACTCTATGTAAAGAATCCTGGAAAAAAAGATTCCAGTCTTTCAAATAAGGCAAAACCACGGATCTTCAGATTTCTAGGGCAGGTTTAATGAAACTGGCACAGAGCTTAAAAGCTGCCCCTACTGAAAATGATTTCCAAGATTTCATAAACAGGAGCCTGAAATATGTATCTATCAACACTGATAGGCAAATTTATATCTCAAAGCAAGTAGATAATGCAAAGGATTTATAGTCCTTTGAACTCCTGAACGGTTCTATTTAATAGAATCATCACTAAAAAATACTTGTCAAATTAGTAGTAAAATTAAAAAAAAATTCTAAACATGTAATAGTCAAAGATGAACAAGGCAATTTGGTGAGATCTAACACAAACAAGGTCAGAAGTTATAAATTTTTAAAGCTTAACACACACAAATCTTCAACCCCCGTTTGCAGTGAAAAAGAGTATCCCACAATAGTTTATTAAAAATACACCTATTAAAAAGTCTGTATAGTACTTGCCAACTGAAGCTGCAGATAGTTGGAACTAATAAAACTAGCTACCACTGCTCTTCTCAATTGAAAATTTAATAAGCTAGTTAAAAAGCTAAAAGGAAACCACTAAGTCAGTTTCTACTGGGTTGGGCTTGGCACCCTGGTACCAACAGGCCAATTTACAATGAAGAATGGCTTATTTAGAATATAAATTCTGATTATACTTTGGCTTTAACATACTATAAACAAGTATCCATTAACTTCTGGACAACAGGCTCCAAGGAGAAGAGAAAATATTTTCAACCCATGAAAAACTATAGATACAGCAACTTGCCTCATTTCTGATACCTTAAATGTTTCTGGTATCTAAAAAAGAAAACAGATAAGGAGTATTTAGCTGTAACAACAAACGAGGGGCAGACAATTTCTCTGGTTGTTTTATAATGAAACAAAAGAAACCTTTCAGTATTAAATCCAAATTATAAAAAATAAAGCTACATTAATTTGATGAAAACAATAGGTATTATTCATATTAATGTCATGGTAGCTCAAGAAAGTTAGCTATTTGAAATAAATTACTATACCTCTGAAAACTATCCTTATTACATTTCTAAATAAGAGTACTATTTTTCCTTTTTCTGAGGGAAAAGTACAGAGTACACCCCAAAGTACTCACCCTGGCTACATCTGGTAAGCCATTTGAATGTTTAAACCTTTATGCTTGACTGTCACAATTTACATTTATGTCTCAATTTATATTGCTATAACTATACAATTTAAAAGTTGAATCTATAAGCATGGTATTATAAATTTTAAAACTTCCTGTTCTACAAGTAACTATTTAAATACATTTTTAGTAAGCAAGGAACACATCATCAAAAAGATAAGTTTGTTAGAAAATTTCTTGATAGTGACACACATGGCAAATCAAGCCAAAGAATTAAAAGACTGTTACCATTTCTAGGCAATGTAGACCACGTCTTAACATGACATGTACATGCACTTAGCAATACTCTTTTCTAATGAAAGACATGGAGTTGAGTCCATGAGTATTATCTAAACTATGCCAGAGGACACAAATGCGTTGCCAGGCAGAGTTAAAAGAATTTTATAAAGCTTTGTGAATTTTAAAAACATCATTTGCGCTCATCTTCTACTAATTAGACCCAGAATGATGGTGTGCTAATAAATATTCAGCAAAATAACTGAACAGAGCATATACTACTTAAAATGTGTATTAAGCAGAAAGATAAACCAAAGTATCTTTTGCCATAAATGAACTCCAAGACTTCAATATTTTTAAAAGTTAAAAATAAAATTTATACATTTCTGTGAGAAAACAAACCATTTTAGGGGTTTCCAAAACAGTAATGCAAATCTAGTGAATTCTAGCGAACAAACTTGATGTTGAAGTTTCTCGCCAAGAGTTAAAGAATGACTACCACATTGATACCTTGGTCTTGTCTCTCCTCCAATTTCTTAATATAAAATAACATTTTGCTTTGAGTCACTAAAGCTCTTTCAGAGAAATCATATAAAATAGCACAAATTAAAATAACTGTAGGTAGTTTATTTTATTAAATATATTTTACATTAAAATACATGTGGGTAAGTAAATATTTCACATAATAAAACCCAATATGTAAATCCTTCCAAAAAGTAAATATAACTAAAAGCTTAGTAAGAAGAAATGTTTATATTCTATTTAAAATATGGAACTTGTCCTTTTGGTTTATTTTGCTGCTTTGTCTCATGCTAGATATGTGATTCCCCCCCCTAAAATAACAAAGATCAGTTTTAGTGATGAGAAACTAGTACAGTGCAAAGCAATTCATGCATACACTTTTGCATGTATGCATTCCATATGTGAGTATTCATACCTATCCCAGAGGTTCTTTGATTCCTGAAACGTGTTCAAATGGAACGCTTGGTAGAAAGCAGTTGAAGGATTCCTGTGAGATCCAAGAATCAAATGGAAATGAGGTTGAGAAAGTACAGTAAAATCACTGTTCAAAAAAGATGGAAGATTTTAGATTTAATACAGTGTAACTGCTTCAATACAAAGAGAAAAGGCAACATAAGCTTGCTTAAATGCATTCTGAAAGAAATAAGAACTGGACAAAATCTAGCAAACCCCAACAAGGATTCAGGATCATAGTGCTAAAAGAAAGGGGTAATAGAGTTAAAATTAAATACTAACTACCATTCAGTGTGTGAGTGTGTGTGTGAGTGTGAGAGTGTGTGTGTAGAAATTTATATATGTATGAATGTGATCAGTTCATAGCCTAATCAACACTACTCTGTATCAAATACCTTTATAAATGCCTGTAAGTTTAGCAGTTGTTAACAAAGCTGTTCTGAGGTATATGCAAAATAAGCTAAGCTATACTTTCATAATATAAAAATTCTTCACAGGATCTATTTGATAGGGTTTGATGATGAACAATGAATCCTTTTCTGGGTTGGACTTGACAAAATTTCCACCTTCAAAATCCATTTATTTATGTGTAGCTTCTCTGGGTTACCACAAAAAATGGCACTGTAATTGTATGGCAGCTTTCGAGCTTCTTGTATTAGCACAGTGTCCCTTTAAAAGGTAAGAGCTTAGGCACCTTAATCACCATCCACTTCTGTAATTCCTTGGGGACACCTTCCCTAGGGCTATAACCATAGAATCTTAACTGATGGGCTCATCTGGGCAAGCTCCCAGCCTGCATGATTCACCTCACATCTCAGGAGTAGTTTCTCTTGGGACCAAACTTTTGACAAACCTGCTCTCCTAACAGTTCCCCTTCCACCTCAGTGTATTTTCAAAGTCTCTCCCACCCCTAACCTGTACATTAGGGAGCTAACAAAAACTTGAAACATCACTTCTAAAATTGTAGCAGAATAACAGCAGCAAGCTTATATACCAGACACTATTTATTCTAAGTGTTTTACATTTATTAACTCAATTCTACAATAGCCCTAAGAGGTCGGTGCTATTATTATTCCCATCTCACAGTAAAGGAAACTGGGTCATAGAGAAGTAACTTGCCTCATGTCACAGAGTCAGTAGGTGGCAATCTGGTCCCAGAGTGCATGTTCTTCAACCACTATGCTAAACATACAGCAGAGTTAAAATTTAACCTCTTTAGGTCTCTTTATCAGTTAAATGATATTAGTATCTAGACTTGCAGGGTGGTTCAAGAACTGAGACCACATGTAAAGCTCCTGGTGCGTAGTCAATGCTCAACAAATGACAGCTATTGTTTTACCATCAAAATGAAGTTCAGGTACAATACCGCAATTATGAAACCTATTTCCAAGTTTAGTGGAATAGTAATCAAGTATCAATGATCATCAAACAAAACAAATACTCAAAAGAATTCCATGACTTCAAAACTCAGATTAAGACTCACTGTGTTATCTACTGAATTTCTTAAAAACATTTTTAAAAGGCACTTTTAATTCTAACCAGTAGGGTACCTCTTAGATGATCCAAAACTAGGAAAGGCAGACAGCCACTAGATGCCAGAGTGTCGCCAAAGCAACTGTCTGATTAATTACTAGTCCTCAGTATGTGTACTTACTTCTCTTTGCTTACCCTATTTCATCTCCTTTCTATTCTTTTAACCCTTTCTCTAACTTTTTTTCTTGACTAGGTCTAAGGCAATCAAAGGCACTGACTGATTAGACCTACTAATATCAAGAAAGGATTAAGAGGCTGCTAACTACTGTTTATTTAACAGCTTGTATCCTCTCAAGATTTATTTGTCAGGCCTCTTGTTTCACTTAGAAATCAGTCTGCCAAATTAAATGAAAGCCAATTGAACCAATTGAAAACCCAATTTGGCTTTTTTACAAGGCTTACCCAGGACCATATGGGAACAAGTATGCTATTCACACAGGTCTGTTTGCAGACCTTAGGTTTAAAATAAACAGCGACTCAAAAAGGAAGGTAGTAAATACAAGAGAATAACAGAGTAAACTTGGAAGTTATTCTGTAAGTCTGAACTAAAATTCGTTCAAAAGTATTTACAAAATACTATAAGGATGACATTCTTTTAAAGAACTTCACATCCGCTGACTTTGGAAAAACATATACATATACATTTAATTTGAATCAAATTCATATGTCAAATACATTCATTTTAAATTGAAGTAATATAAGTTATGAAATTCCAGCATTTTTACAGCATAGGCTAATAATGAAATGTTCCTCATAAAGTCAAAGGTAGAAGTGAAAACAACTTAACTGCAGTTAGTTTTGCATTTTGGGGTGAGAAAACTTGTGCAATAAAATACTGTAAATGGACCTAAAGTCCTTAGCACATGTCAGAACGCATACATTTAGGATGCAAAAGTTTGTAGTTAACAGTCACTTTCTACGTATATTCAAAACGAAGAAGCCATATGGAGTTATACAATATGAAAAATTTAAGTAGTCTATATTCCAAGGATAAAGACAGTCATAAAATACGAAATTTTTGGTTTCTGGAATACTTCAGCTGGGATGTTATCCATAAACTGAGGGATTTTTTGGCAAATAGCAACAATAAAAAAATTAATCTCAAAACAGTGATTCATAATGGGCATAGATTAAAGAAGTCAAGTCTGTGAAACCTAGCTGATTAAGAACTGCAAAACACCCATTTGTAAATAAAAACTGAAGGGTTAGATCATCAGAGAATTCTGTTTTGGAATGACATAAAATTGAAGAAATTAAGAGTCCAAGGAAAACACTGTTAGTAGGCATAATTTCAAGGTTCCAGTCTCTGAAATCTGGAGGGACCAAGAGGCAACTGACATGAAAAAATTTATTAGAAAGAAATACTGAATTTTATGCAGCACTGGTGACAAATTCTCTTCTGCCCAAGAAATAAAATTTGAAACCAGTTTTCTAATAACATATTTGATGTCAATGTAAACTACTAATCTAAATATAGAATCAATGAACTACTAGGAAGACTGAGGTGTGGTTATCCTGAATTTATTTCAGTCACCTAAATGAAAATGACATTTTCCTATTTGGAGACATTTTTCAAAACCAATGAATAAAATATATTCTTTTCTCCGACTTTATATAATAGTCTGTCATGTTAATTTCCAAGTACATGAAAGTAGTACATCGCCAGAAAGTGACTCAAATGTGAATATGTCTACCTGCCTTACTAAGGTACTACACTATCTTTATAGGGTAACTACAAAAGAGAAAAAAAACAAACATATATACTATATCTCAAAACTAAGCTACAAAAATCACTGAAGCTTAAAAGATGAGGTACATAAGCCCTGCAGTCAGCGAACTATCTTCTTCTTCTATGTCAAAACTCAACTTCAGAGTTCTCTAAATAGAAACCAGGGAAATACTACAATAAGCAGAGGAAAAAGGGCCATCTCCAACATTATTATCTAGGAATTTTAAATGATTAAAAATATCCTTTAGGTGAAGAACAACAATACAACAGATCAGTGGCTACAGGTTTTGCTTCCTCCAATCTTATAGTCAGCAAAGTAATAAAACAAAACTAACTCTGGGAATATCCAAGAGCACTGGCTTTGGAGTCAGAAGGCCTGAGTATGAATCTATGTTATGTCACTTAATAGCTATGTGTCTCAAATCCTCCAAGTCTCAGTTTTCTTAATCTGCAAAAAGGGGAGGAAAACACTTCCTTAGAGTTGCTTAGAAGATCAAATCAGATTACGTACAGGTAGGGCCTAACACAAGTAAACTTGGTTTGTGTTTAATATAGGGTTACAGTTTCCAAATTATGCTGTATAAAAATAAATTTTTGGTGGAGTATGTTAACATATACCAAAATATTTCACCATTATTAAGGTAATATTGAGGTAAACAAACTACTTAAGGTAAACAGAATACTTAAACTTAGAGCTAGGTATACCAAGCTATTTAGTACATTCCATTGGATGAGAATCCTGACTTCTGGGACTCAAAACTCCCCCAGGATTTCCCTACAAACAACTTTTATCACAAGATTTTAATTAAAAATAACATTGAAAAGGGTAGTGAAACGATTCCAAGACATATACTACTTCAATAATAAAAGCTTCAAGAAACATCTTTAATAGCAACCATACACTTATGATAAAAATCTCAACTTCTTACCATGACATTTAAGCCTTTCACTCTGGTTCCTGTCAATTTAATCACATCATTTTCCAAATCTGTCATATTCCTACTCTTCCACGTTGTTATACAAACTGCCTTCTTCCTCCACTTAGAAAATCATCCCCTTCTTTTATCAGTGGCCTAATGTGAATGACCCCTGTAAGATTCAGTTTTAGAATTAGCTTCAGAAGAATGCACAAGTAATGCTTCTAAGGACAGAAGCTGAAGAGGTGTCAGAGAGACTTTCAATTTATACTCTTGCATATTTTGAACTGTATAAATGTTATTGCCTATGTAGAGAATAAAATAATTTTAAGTTGAAATACTTCCTCTCCATACCAATCTGACATGACATCCTAAATTGTTCCCATTAGCACCATATATTTATTATTTTCATATAGCTGGAGATCTTTAAGGGCAGGATAGTCTTATAACTGTATCCCAGTACCTACTACTCAGAGAGCACAAAGGAAGTTGAATGATTGACATATTGTTGCATTAAATGTTTTCTTGGGCATTCAACCTGCTTAAGGAATATTTGTAAACTTCATTTTTTTTTTAATCACAATAGTTCTGGTGGAAAGATAAGGAGAATGCTTAATTTAAGCTGGCAGCTCTCCAATGAAACATGTCTAAATGTATGAACCCATACACACAGAAGCTTAAAATTTGATCGTCTCAAATTCTACAATAATTTTACCAATGAGGACAACTGAGAGAAGTTAAATGATTTGACTGAAGAAACCAGCTAAGTGGTAGAAGAGCCAGCATTAGAACACAATTTGTTGTACTTCTTACTACATGAGGACTTCTTTGGACTAAAACAATGTCTCCTTTTCT